ATACCAATTCAACCTCCAAATTTATCTCTGCATGTAGCTCTCCCTCTCTTTCTTTTCTGCGGCGGGTCCGGCGAGTTCCACCGCAGCCCTCGTCGCAGGTTAGTCCCTCCGCCTCCGCGCGTGTGTGTGCTCATCTGCTTTGCCAATTCCGTCATCGCAGCGGCTGCGTCCCGGCCGCCATGTCGTCGCCCAGCAGCAGCTCCAGCTCCGTACACGGCATACCTCCTCATCGCGTCAAAAAACCTCGGGATGGTGTTCCGCAAAGAATAAAACGTTGGCATGCTGACTTTTCCGGCGGGTACGTGTAAACTATATATAGTATAATTACCCTCCATCTTATTTTACATTTATTACTGTAATTTTATTATTTATGTAATTAGGCGAAATTTGTTGTTGCATGCTTGTTGTTCAGTTGTTACGACTTGATGTACTCCACCTAAGTAACCTAGAGGATGTAAAACTTGACCCGTGAGGGCTAGACAGCCTCCGGGGTTTCCGGAATTAAGGTAGAGATATCTCACACAGGTCAAGAAAACCCCTAAACCCCATACCCCGTCTTCACACAGAGGCCCGTTACCTTGTGAGCGGAGTGGTCCTTTTACCTGTGCTTTGGGAAACGTGGGACAGACGAGATATTTTTTATACCTTCGGCGTTGCGATTCGCTCCCGTGGGAGATCGAACCCAGGCCGCAAGGGTGCCAATCGGAGTGCTCGACCATCCACCTAGCATCGGTTGGCCTAACCTAGAGGATGTAGTACATCTATGTATCTGATCTCTCGATTGGCACTAATATGAGTTATTAGTTTCTACTATAACCGCTCTCTCTCTATCTGTGTGCGAGAGAGAGGTGTTAATTCAACTCTCCAATGAGAGAGCTAGCAAATTAAACCATACCATCCACGTCGGACCATTGAGTCTCACAAGGTTTTAATTAATTTGAGGTTTTACGTGGAAGGGCAGGGCCCCAAAACTAATGGACTGTTTGGTTCTCCTCGCATCGCTCAGAGAGAAACTAAACACATTGAGTTGTTTGGTTTTCTTGTCCTGTTACCTTGATTCAGTGCAAGCAAGTTTTCCTTGCTAAGCTGGGAGAGTCAAATTGCCTCTCCTCGCTGGGCAAGGCTAGCCTCGCCTAGTTAAGCAAGGCTAGGCAAACCTGGTCACACATCTTCTGTTCACTACAATTCCTTCCGTTGCTTGACTCTCTATCTATTTGGACCTACATATATCATATTATATATTATATATTATATTATTATATATTATCATGTCGTTTTACATTTATTTGTTGCTGCTACTGCTTATTAAACTGATAGTCATTTCTTTTTTATTTTTTTTTTATTTTTTTTCTATACAATGCAGTCTTGACATAAGGTTGGAGAGTTGGGATGACCCCACTCCTAGGGAATCAGAATATACCGTCCATGATCTTCGTGTGGCTTGTGTTGAGTCTTGCCAGGCATGATTACAGCTACTTCCCTTTCTCTTCGATTATAAGCCTAGTGAGGAGGAAAGACAAGAGCATGATCGCAAGAGCTCGGTGGTAGCATTGCAAGTCTACACCAAGCAAAATAACATGCAGGTCGGTCACTTCTATTATGTTTTTCAGAATGGACATGTATAGTTTTATAGTTACCGAAACCAACTCATATTAGTTATGGTATTACTATTCTTATTCAGTTTTCAGAAAATGGACATGCAGTTTACTAGAGTAATTCTGCCCACAATAATGAGTGTTTTTTTATTCTTTTGTAGGCTAGTTCACTCATTTAGGTCATCATTATTTAAGCCAGCTCCACGATGAAATGTATTTCACCATTTACGTGAAGTGGTCCTGTTATATTGAATTATTGACATACATTTATATTATTATATTGCAGCCTACTGATCTTGAATTTGTGGAAGTGAAAGAAAGGAACATTATTGGTGATTTCGGGAAAGGATATTTGCATTTGAACTTTTTAGTGAAAGGGCTCGATGGTTAACATACACTGTTTTTTTGCTGAAGTGCATCATAATCTCAGAGATGAGAAAGATGTTTATCTCTGTAAGCCTTTGGGGGAGGATGACTTCAATCCATCAAAAAAGAATGACCAAGGTATTTTTACATTTCCTTCGATTTTTTATGTTATTAGTACACTGTGCTCTAACTTTATAGGTGATTTATCATATGTTTTTCTTTTCCAGTTGTGTTGACCATTCACTAACGCACTTGTCTTTCTTTTTAAGCACACTGTAAAGGGTGTCTATTTCGGGCAAAAGATCTTATACATCCCAATTGTGGTAGCTTCTTAGCTGGGTACAGGTATTTTATTTATCCGGAGGAAAGTGACGAGGAAGAGCGCGATTGGGAGTTTATTTAGTGAGAGGTTACTGTTACTTGGTTCTGTGAGAAGCTTATTATTTACCGCAGGTGTTAATTAAGAAGAATAATTAATCATAATTAAGGGCAGTTTAGTACTTCCAGCTCCCTAACCCAATTCCACGTATGCTGCTCCCTGCGTCGCCTCCTCCCAGGTTGCCGCCAATCCCGTCGCCCGCCTCTGCTTCCGAGCCGTGTGCCTCCCGTGGCGGTGAATCCGGCGATGCTGCACGGACCCCGCGCCTCTACCCCGGTAGTGGATCATGCTCCTCGGCGATTACGAGAGGCTCACGACCGCCGCCGCCCACACGGAATCCAGAGCTGCGTGACCACCGCCGAGGGTCTCCTCGTCATGCATTGTAAGCTGATCGAGGCTGCCCGCTTGCTGAACCCGCTTACGCGCCAGATGGGCCTCGTGGAGTTTTCTCTCGGATGCATCGGCGAGTGCATGCCGTGCTGTGCGGGCCTCCTGGATCACAGCACGGTCTTCCTCTACTTCTACGACAGATCTGGTGGTGCACGTGTTGCAGCGAGACCCGTCTATAGCAGCCACGTGTTGTAGCTGCTGGGCCTGCTTACGTGCACGTAGGTGTGTAGGGGGGCGCCACGGTGCGAGCGCAGGACACGGAGTGGTGCGGAACATGAAGCGCACGTGGGCTACGGTGCGAGCAAGGGACACGAAGTGGCGTGGGCCACAGTGTGGAGCGCAAGACACGGTATGGCACGGGACACCGAGCGGCACGGGCCGCCACATGAAGCAGGTGCAGGCGTCCGAACTTATGGAGGCTAAACATACCGTTTTATTTTCCTTCTGTACTCAGAATCTTACCCTCCATGGTGGTGTAACTTTAATGTAGTAGCAAGTTTGACCTTCAGTTTTAGGGCCTGCTTGGTTCCTTTCTCTTCTCCTAAAATTCCTCTCACATCGAATGTTTGAATACATGTATGGAGTATTAAATATAGACTAATTACGAAACTAATTGCTCAACTTGCGACTAATTTGCGAGACCAATGTTTTAAGCCTAATTTGTCCATGATTTGACAATGTGGTGCTACAGTAAACATGTGCTAATGATAGATTAATTAGGCTTAAAAAATTCGTCTCGAAAATTAGCCTCCATCTATGTAATTAGTTTTTATAATTAATTTATATTTAATACTCCTTATTAGCCTCTAAATATTTGATGTGACATAAATTTTAGGAGCGACTAAAGAACCAAACATCCCCTTACTCTCTAAGAGGACCAGTCTGTCTTAATTTAACTTTATGGTATGCGTGCACAACGGCGGAGCTACGTAGGGGCCATAGTGGGCCATGGCCCCCCTTGGTTCTGGAAAATTTCTAAATTCCATATACTATTAAGAGGGAACAGAAATACAAATACAAAGGCTATGACTTAATAATAATGCAGAGTCATGACAGCTAGCAAGCAATCAGTCCATCCGTAGGCATTGCAAACAACGCAATCTACATTCAGTCTCCATTTCTTCCTTCTGCTTTTCTTCGTCAGAGTGATAGTATCTCCGTGGCTATACATCTCTCACCGCAGATGGCTCTGCACTTGGCATGCCGCAACAAAGCTCTTGCCAGCCTACAAAGCTCTCGGACTGCCGCAAGGTGTCTTCTTATTCAGCACATGCTTGCAAAATAACCAAACACCCCCTGCTTGGGCTGCACGCTCCGCCACTGTGCGTGCATGCTAGTAAAGATAGTTTCTTCTGTTCACATGTCAACAACTCAATATGTATTGTCTGTCAATATACAAAGCCTGCACTGTACTAGTATTTGGTAGACTTCTGGCCACTACTTTTGGACAGCTAGCTTTCGGGAGGTCCAATATGTATATTGTAAGCGCCGATGCACACACACGCAAATTAACCAACCTGCTACCTCCTCGTCCATCTTACCAAATATGCAAGTTGAGCATACACGATTTATGAAACAAGATTGAAATCAAGTTGAACATACACGATTGAAAGCTACTAGGCTATTACATTCAGAAAATTTTCGCACCATCTTACATCACCGCCACAGGCACTTTCACATTCCAGGCGCGCACACAGCAGTTCCTAATATGCGCATTATTATCACCTCCTAAGTTGGGAGCCCTCCGATTCAATGATAGATTTTACCGAGTACCCCTGCAAACCAGTTGGAAAACAACCATCAGCTACCAAATGGTAATTATAATAGTTATTACAAACGTATCCACGAGATGCAAACAAGATATCAAACAGGATCAAAGCTCCTCTTATGGAGCACAAGTCAAGTAGGTACTAGCAAATAAACTAGTAGTACAGCTGCTGCATAACTAAGCGCATCGGAATCTCAAGAGGCACAACATGCTTTCCATAATTTACCACTAACATAACTGACAGGTCACATACGATAGTAACGGATCCAGAGGAAATAGCAAACACAGGAGGTAAACAATGCTCCACAAGAGAAAAAAAAAGAAAAAGAAATATATCACACAACTCGGCTATGCAAGGTAGATAGGCAGTGCTGTTTAGTCAAACTAAAATATGGTAGGGATTGAACACGAGCTCCATAATTTGGAGCTTCAGATGCCCCACCATCTGGTATCAAAGTGCAGCTTTGTGCAGGAAGTGACGAACAAACGAGAACACACTGGTCTAGCATAGCTGCAAAGGTGCATAAGCCCAGGGATCAGTAGAAACATAAAGCAGGGTGCCATTCTTTACGTATGGTGGAACATGTGCAAGGAGCAAAATGGACAGATGTTTTTCAAGAAGAGAGCCTTGGTCAGCACCAGGTATCCTGGTGCACAAAGGGTGAGACCGACATACACTAGTTAATGCACTAAGAGAGCAGTGAACTGCAGCCTTTCAGAATGCATGGTTCGTGCTGTTCCTAAGTACCTTAAATCAATCCCAACAACTGTAGATTAAATAACTTTCCAATAGGATACTCTACTCTACCAGAATATGTGTCTAGGTAATTATTATCCATGGTCTAATATGAAGGGCAGTGTTCCAGCCATTTCTGTCAAAATTCAGAAAGATATGATACAGATATCTTCAGACTAACAAAAGCAGTCAGTCACAACACAATACAGGGCACATGAAAAATAATGTTACCAAAACAGGAGTGCGACTTGGAACTACTAATGAACATTTCAGGTCATTACAAATCTGCATGACACACTAAGAAAATGTCTGACAAAACACCAAAACTCAGTCAGGATGAATATATACCTTGCTAAGACCAAAGACACTTTGGTCCTACTCCATTCCCGCATATTTATACCTCAGCACCAGGTTCCGCTTCTCCTACAAAGAATAAGAATAAAGGATAAGGGAATTGACTTCAGAAAGCAATTGGAAAATGGACTGAAAGGACAGATATCAATAACTGATGAGCAGATGTCCACTATTCACTCAGTAATAACTGGGGAAGGGGGCCATAAATAAAAATCTGATCAGAGGATAAGGGCTCCAACTCTTTTATGCAACAAAGGATTGATCTTTACAGTTTTCAGACCAAGTCATTTTAATAACAACGTATAACAGAGAGCAAGTACTTATGGTAGTTTAAGAATTTGGCACCTGACACTGACAGATAGGCCCTAAGAAGCCCCAGCTTAGGGCAGACCCAGTGCCGGAGGCTCCCACATGAGTGGGGGCTGGGGAAGGGAAAAACCGAGGCAAACCTTCCCCCCGCAAAATCTGCGGAGAGGCTGCTTCGAACCCGCGACCTGGTGACTCAGTGAGACAGCTCTCACCACTGCACCAGGCCAGCTTATGGGGTAATTTTCACAGGGTCCCAAATGTAAACAGTGCTTCCCATATGTAACAAACCAACCAAATAGAAACAAGTACGAGTCTGAAACTACATAAATAGGCCTTTATCATTTTCATCGATCTCTCAACTCACCATCTACTGCATTTGCTTGTCATGAAGAAAAGCAGCAAGCCTAAAACTTCACAAGAGATGTTTTAGCAAACCCCAATCGCCACAACCTCACCAAATATTTTTATGGTGCTGCCCAGCATAAGCCACCATCCCATTTTCCAACATTGGAAGTCCCTCTAGACGGTACAACCCTATCTGATGATCTCTATAACACAGTCCACAGGTGGACAGGCTTGCTGCTGCATTTTGGGTCATTCTTGTTGAGCATGCTAGAATTGAGATTTTTGTTTCCTTTTCCCCCTTCAATCAATAATACAGTAGTTACAAGCCCCCGGTGCCCATTTGATATGACTTAATAAACTACCAAGATTCCAAGAGTTATTCCTCGCCAAAAGGAAAAAAAATTACAAGAGTTGTCTAATGGTAGTGCTCCTTAGCTTGTTACCAGAAACTTCCAAACCAATGCACATGGATGGTTTGAAGCAAGGAATGCACGGGGGAGTTCAGGCAATCTGCCTTCGATATTCAGGCTACTGTTAAATGGAAGCAATTAATATGACAAGCCAGTTTAGGGCTTTAGTCAACTGTAAATATAGATTATAGTCACAATCCAACTGTTGTAATAATTTTCAAACAGACCTAAGCAACTAAGGAATCCGAAACACCATTTTGTGCCATCCATTTATGGCATGTTGGAACTGATATTCTTGGTTCCTCTCTCCTCCCTCCCTCCCCAACTTTTAGTTGGTGACGCATCTTGCCAAATACAATCAAATAATACAATAGTTGCAGGCCTGCGATGCCCATCTGATGTGGCTTTGTAGGCCACCAAGATTCTAACAGTTTTTGCTTATAAAGAAATGAAGAGCGATCTAATAGATAGTGCAACTGTGCAATTGCCTCCTAGCCAGTTACCGGATAGTTCTATACTAATGCATGGAGCTGGTTCAAAACAAGGAGTGCATGCGAGAATTCAGGCAACATATGGTGAATGCTGAGTGGAACCTATATCCGCCTTCTGTTAAATGGTCGAATCTATCGTTACAAGACACTTTTGGCAACCGAAAACCTGAATTATAGTTACAATCAAACCCAGCTATCCAAGGCTTATCTAAGTTTCCCACATTGGCAAAAAACCCACAATGCAAGAAAAAAACCACTACAAATTCTCAGTCTCTCTATCCAACAAATGCACAATTCTAGCACAAGGCAGTATAAGCAATTATTAAGCCAATGAATCACACAGAGGCACAGTTGTGCGATGAACATCAACAGTGCAGACAAGAATCACAGGATTGGATAAACAGACCTGCTCGAGCACACGGAAATTGCTCTTCTCCACCTCCCTGGCGAGCTTCTCCAGCTTCCTGAGCATCCCTGCATACATCTCATCCATCTCGGCGGCCTGCCCCGCCGCAGAGCCGAGGACCCCCTGCAGCCTCCCGACCCCAAACCCGTCGACCATTTCATCCACCGCCTTCTGCTCCCCGATGGTGTGAGCGTGCCCTGGCGCCGGAGCCGACGGCAGCCAGGGCATGGGCGACTCGGCGGTGAAGGCGTGGTACTGGTCCCGGAATCCGGGGCCGACGTTGACGACGGCGAGCGAGGCCGGGACGAGGCAGCCGCCGAGGAGAAGGAAGGCGCGGTAGTCGTAGGAGTGGGTGGAGTGGTTGGGGGAGGCGGAGGGGGAGACGAGGATGAGGAGGAGCGGGTGGGCGGAGGCTAGCGTTTCTGAGAGGGAGTGGGCGAGCGCGGCCTCCCGCATGGAGGGGCGGAGCGCGGTGCGGCGGCGGGAGGAGAAGAAGCCGATGGGGGTTGGGGAAGGGGAGGAGGAGGGGGAAGGGGGATGGAAGCGGCCGAGGGAGTCGGAGAGGGAGGAGGGGTGGGAGAGGGAGCAGTGGCCGGAGACGGAGATGGAGAGCGCGGGGGCGGGCGGGGCCCCCGCCGCGGCGGGGTCGTCGTAGTCGGAGAGGGCGGCCGGCGGCGCGGGCAGGTGCGCGGCGCGCCCGAAGAGGAGGCCGTCGCAGTCGCCGGCGGCGGCCGCGCAGCGGTGCAGCAGCGCCGCGAGGGCTGCGCCGGAGATGGAGAGCTTGGCCACCGGTGGGGTGGCGGTGGCGCTGTCGCCGACGGCCATCGGATTCGAGGAGGTGGCCGATCTGTTGTGCTGTCCGCTTGTGGCCTGCTCACACACGCAGGCAGCAGCAGGCTCTCGCACGTTCCCTTCTCTCCCCACCTGGCTGTACAGACGACTTGCACGATCCATTTCTAGTCTACTAGTGAAAAAAAAAACAATTTCGAATGTGCAAAAACCAAACAATTCAAAGCAAGTCTGCAACAGCAATTGAAAAAAAAAAGAACTCGACCTTCGGATGGTTGGACAGTCCGGGAGCTTTGCGCTTTAAGAAAGAGATTTCTCACGCAGGTAAGAGAAAAAACCTCCGAACCCCATACCCTGCCCGCACACAGGGCCCGTAACCCTGTGAGTGGACCGGTCCGCAACCTGTGCTTTGGAAAACGCAGGGCAGGCTAGGGGATTTTTTTCCTCCGGCCAGCGTAAATCGCCCCCGAGGGGGGTTCGATCCCTGGCTAGCAGGGTGCCGCAGGAGCGCTAGACCAACCGGACTAGCTTCCGTTGGATGCAACACCAATTGATGTGCCTCCCATGGCAAGATGGAACATAATGACCAGAAATCATCGACATTTCTATGTAAACTAGCGTGCGCCCCCACGCTTCGCGTGGGAAGGAGAGGAAAGGGAAAAAAATAAGGGAAAAACATGTTTAAAAAAAATGGTACTGTTTGTTATCGGGTGGGAACTGTTCATCGTGGATTCGATAACGGCGACGTGACCCCCCTCAAATTTATAGTCTTTTATAGATTTTAGACAAAAATATGTTCTTTCCTCATCTCAACCAAGTAGGCCTACATCATTAACAAGAGAAGCACAATGGTAAATCGATGGATCTTTACATCCCATGTCAAAATCGACAATGGCAAGACCGAAATAGATGAGAAAACAACAAATTCGAGGAAAACCCTAGATGCAATCATCGCAAGAGTAGGTTACAAAGGATCTATCTACAACATCTCAAAGACGGAAAGAAGAGTGATGTATTGATATTGTGAAAGAACTCGAACAAAAATAGTAGGCAGGAGGAGATTAGAGAGGATCTCTCCACGATATCCCAAAAGGTGAAGAACAAAGGATGGGACGAAGATCTTGTGCATAGCAAAGCTAGAAATACCAGTGAAGTTTTCAAGTTTTCCAGCTTATGGGAAACCATAGTTTTAAATAGTGGGCTATTAAAAATAGCGGTAACTTTTTTTCAACAGTTACAAGGCAATAGCGGCGCTATGACAGATAGTGTTTTTATAAAGAAAACATAAAAAACGCCAATAATTGATGAAAAAAACATGGTAAGTATGAAATTCGATGAACATAAATATGTTTCTAAGGTTCCACAAGTCTAGGTAACATTACTAATATGACATTACAGCATGGTTCATGAAAGTCCAGTGTTTAATTATCTAAAATACCAAATTAGTAGTAAATGATAAGTAGGAAATAACAAATTAAATTGTCAAAATCTATTAGTGATGGCAAAATCTGAAATAGCACCGCTATTTGAACGCTAAAGCTATGCAATTAGCAGGGCTATAGCACAAAATAGCGGTTAAAAGTTGGCATAGCGACAAAATAGAAATAGCTTAGCGTTGAGTCTCTCCGGCCACTATAGTCCACTATTTTTTTCTATGTGGGAAACCAAGATCAATCACATCACTAGAGCCTCCGACGAGCCACATTACTAGCTCCATAGGATCCTTGAGGCCTTGTCACCCCCGGCACCCTTTCCTTGGATCTGGAAGACCAAATGTATGCCAAAAGTCAAATTCTTTGGGTGGCTTCTGCTGACTGATCGATTGCACACAAGAAATATCTTAAGAAGGCGAAAGAAGCACCTCGATGAAGGCTATAACTGTGTTTTTTGCCCTAATGATATTGAGGAAATGGCAATGCACTTGTTTTTTAGTGCACATCTAGTGTTACACGTTGGTTCATGTTAGGCATTTAATGGAATGTTCAAGGCAGCATTTATCAGATGCTTGTTGACAAGAGAGAACAGTTCCAACTGCCCTTCTTCATGGGTCTCTTCCTCGTTGCTGCTTGGTGCATCTGGACGGAGAGGAACGACTTCATCTTCAACAATCGTGTGCCGTCCTTAGTTGCATGGGAAAGCTTGGTTTTTGGGTGAAGTTAGAGCATCTCCAAGAGTACATAATAATCCCTACCAATCCTTTTTTTAGAAAGAATGGAAAAAAATTCATCTTCAACAACTCCTAAACTGATCTCCTAATCTTTTAGCACTTGAGAAAAAGGCCCGACGCGCGTAAAGATGCGCGGATGGCCCGTCGCGTATCCGCCCTTTCCCGTCCCCCGCGCGTAGCGCCGTCATTTTCTCGCGCGGTCTCCTCTTCGCGCCATCTGCTGCCGCCATGTAGAGAAGCCGATCATCGCTGGGAGAGGCATCCTGCAGGCTATCAATGGCGGCCGGCGCCCTGTACCTGGCGACCGCGGCGGTGGCTCCTGCGTCCACACGTGCTTGTCGTGAGGCTGAGAAGAAGAAGGGAGTGGGAAAAGAAAAAGGAGGAAAGATAGGGTTTCAGGTGAGAAAATCACAAGAGAGAAAGATCTGGTGGGGGTTTAAATAAGTATAGAAATAAATTTAGGGTTCCTGATATAAAACATCACAAATTCTGGGACCGACCAAATTTTGATTTTGGAAGAGGAATATTAGAAACTCTTAGAGATGGACTTCTTTATTCATTCTAATACTTTTTTAGAGTTGAAAAACACCATGTTTTTAGAAAGAAAAAAATATGATACTCTTGGAGATGCTCTTAGGCTTCACCAATGTTGCTATCCTCCAAACTTACAACATGTAATAGATCTTTGGCTCAATTCTTTGTAATAGGTAATTTCCCTTTGTAAGGTAAGGAACTGTTTTCTTGTTACCTCCTAGCTAACACGTATGTAACATGTCCCTTGTTTTTATTTAATATATTTTCCTGAGCTTTGCTCCACAGTTTCAGCAAAAAAAAAAAAAGAGGACAGGGGTGGTGGCGGGATCTTCTATTCCTCCTGCGAGGAAGAGGGCGATAGGAGAGCAAAACCCTAGAGTAGTGGCGCAAATGACGAGATGGAAGAGGGGGTAGTAGGAGGTTGACGAGAGCGGTAATCCATCCAGACCGCAAGACTTAATGTGGATGCAGTGCGCTTTAGGGTCCGTTTGGCAAGCTGAATCGTTTCATATTCTAGGTTAAAACTAGAGAATCGGTGCCAAACGGTAAAACCATGAAACGTTTCAGCCTAGAATCGTTTCTGGTTTCTTGCCCATGAAAATGAAACGGCTGGAGGGTAGTTTCCCATGGATTCTCTCATGTTTCTCTTTGTCTCCCTTATGGGCTAGTAATTGTATTTTTTTTTGTTCTAATCGTTTTTAGTGCCACGGATTAAAATGGGTTGTATTTAAGTTGTACTTCGCTATCAAAAAGTTTGGTTTCTATGAAACATATTTTTATTTGTACGATTTTTTAAGAAAAAGATATTTTTTTCTCATGAATCAGAATTTAATCTACTAGCCAAACGGTTTCATGAAGTGATTCTGATTTATTACCTGAAACGTTTCTTCTGAGAACCTAGATCCGAAACGTTTCTACGAGAATCGCTACTACAGCCAGCCTTTGTAGAGGCGGCTCATAAGTATTTGTAGGGACGGTTTGGCCAGCCGCCCTTGCGAAAGCGTAGCTATAAATCGCTGATTTGTAAGAGCAGCTCCATTTTCGAGAAATCATGAATTAGGACAAAAAAATAGCAAAAAATTTTTTGATCCGGGGAGGCCCACCTTACCTCAGTTGTGTCTATAATGAATTTTTCTTTCTCCTAATATTATCCTAAACCGAATTTAAATTAATTGTTTGAGACCCTAAATGAATTCAAATGGAAAAGGTGTCAACTACAAAGTTGTATAACTTTTCGAGATCTGCAACTTTTGTTTTTGTTGTTTATCCATTTGAGGTCGTTTAAGAAATTTAAATTTCAAATTTGAGAAATTTAAACGTAGTTTTCCTTGACAAAATGAATTCAAATAAAAAAGTTGTCAACTATCAAGTTCTATAACTTTTCGAGATCTACAACTTTTATTTTGATTATTTCTCCATCTAAGGTCATTTGAAAAAAAACAAATTTCAAATTTGAGAAATTCAATCATAGTTTTCCTTGACAAAATAATTTCAAATGAAAAAGTTGTCAACTACAAAATTCTGTAACTTTTTGAGATCTATAACTTTCATTTTGGTCATCTTTTCATGTGATTTTGTTTGAACAATTCACAATTTGAATTTCAAAAATTGACTATTTCAAACAATATTTTGAAATAGTAAATGATTTCGGCAGAAAGGTCATGAAAATAAAAGTTGTAGAACTGAAATGTTGTTTGAAGTTGCCATTTTTTGAAATTTAAATTTTGAATTGATAAAATAAAGTCACATGAAAAGATGACCAAAATAATAGCGGTAAGAACACAATAAATTGATAGAGCATTATTTTAGAAAATTTTAGAAAAAAAATTATCAAGTATGAGGGAGAAAGACTAGTTACAAGTTTTAGCTAGAGATTAAAAAGGGAGATCAGCCTTTTTCGATAATTTAAAAATTGAATTTCAAACATCGTTTTGAAATAGTAAATAATTTCAAATGGAAAAGTTGTAAGCAACAAAGTTTTATAACTTTTTGAGATCTACAACTTTTATTTTAGTCATTTCTCCATCAGAAGTCGTTTGAAAAATTCGAACTTTAGTACTTAATTTTTATTATTCGGCGTCTATTTGTAGGGGCGGCTTTATATCCAGCTGTCCCTATAAATCGAATTTATAGGGGCTGCTGGATATAGAGCCACCTCTACAAGTAGTGACAATTTTAGGGACGACTGATAACACCAACAACCCTTACAAATAAATTTGTAAGGGCGACTTAATAAAAAAAGGAGACGTTGCTACAAATTCTTTTCGTAGTAGTGAATATGGATCCCTACGAAGCACACCCTTATTAGTGTGCCTGCAAGATAGGCCCAAGGCCTACAATGCAAATGTTGCATAGGTAGGTGCGGCCGTTTTGGCCATGTTTGGTGGATACTGGTGGGTGCTTTGAGGATAGTTGTAGGCTAGTACATAAGGGGCTAAAGAAAGAACCAAATAACTAGACTCTC